GAATACTTCATGGTGATAAAAGCCTGGAAGACGTGCTACACTGGGGGCAGGATGTCCATCCACCGTTGGAACGGGGGACGGGGGACGACGCCTTTCCCTTTCCCTCCCCCTCCCCTCCCCTCCCCTCCCCTCCCCTCCCCTCCCCTCCCCTCCCTTTCCCTCCCCTCCCCTCCCCTCCCCTCTTTCTTTCTCTCCTTCCTTTCTTTCTTCCCTTCCTTTCCCTTTTCCTTCTTTTTTTTTGGGGGGTGTACTATTTTTTTCACATTCAAATTTCACCATCAAACACTGAGCTCAAATATTTGCTGGCCCTGTGTTCAGATTTTTGAAATAAAGATAGATTGACAGCTTTAAGGGTTCAATGTATTAAGTACTGCACAATATATTCAACAATTGGAAAAGAAATCTAGGGGGAGCTTATATAAACATATACACATACATAGACCCTTATATGAGTATAGGGATAAGCCCTGCAATTTGAAGGAAAACCCGTTCAGGACAGAGAGGTCCTTGGGGAAAGGATTTCTGGCTGCTGTTTACGTGTGTTCATTATCAGCATCCTTGCAGCTCTATATGTTTTACACACTTCTACTTTGTGAGAAGTCTGCAAAAGAGAAAGAGTACATCAGAAGTGATAGCCTTGTCCTTCATATTTTATCAGATCAGGAGGCACACTGTGTCCTTTCCCTTTTGCCCTTTAGTGGCCTTGCCTGAAGGGCCTCTCCCATTTCAGGGTCGCTCGTCACTTCCCTCTTTTCTGTCTTGGCTTCTTTGCTCCCTAGTACTTCTCTTTTTTCTCCTCCCCTTCCTCTTGATTTTCTATAAACAATTGTTCTGTTAATTTTGAGAGAGTGTGAGAGGGATCAGAGGACGGGTGTAGAAGGGCATTTCAGTCCTAAGAAGCATGCTGCTGTAGAGGCGGTCTGGTACAGACTGGGTTCGTTCGTTCATGAGTCAGTGCCTGTGCCAGGCTCCCAGAGACCCAGGTCAATAAGACAGGGTTAGGTGGAGGGTGGAGCGTGTGCAGGGACAGTGAGCTGAGCGACCGCAGGGGGTCATGGAGAAGTGCCAGGAGCTCCCCATTGCTGGAACAGGTCTGTCACTGTGGAAGCTGGACTCTTGTAAAGTAGCACATGGAAGGTCACGTGTAAGTCAGTGCGGAGTAAAGAAGTGCTAACTGAGTCCCTGTGCTGACGAGACCCAGGGTCAGGCAGTGATCAGGGTATGTTTCCTGGGAGAAATCACTGAGTGAGATTTTGAAGGAAAGCAAAGTCTGAATTAGTAGAACGTGAGGGGGAAGGGTGTTAACACTTGGCAGACTGTTCCGTGACAAGGCGTGGGGATTGCCTTAGCGTGGGCTGCTGTACCACCAAATGGGCGGCTTAAGCAGCACACTTGTATCTTCTGGAGGCTGGAAAGTGCAAGATCAAGTTGCTGGCAGATTCCTTGCCTGGTGAGGGTCTCTTCCTGGTTCATGGACGGCCACCTTCTTGCCGTGTTCTCACATGGCAGAGAGGGGGGAGGGAGAGAGATCTCATGTCTCTTCCTCGTTTTATAAGGACATTAATCCCATCACGAGGGAACCGGCTCCCATGACCTCTGTGTGTGCGTGTGTGTGTGTGTGTGTAGAGCCCTGGCGTCTCTTCCTACTGGACAGTAATTCGTCCTGGGGCTCCACCCTCATGGCCTCACCTAATTAGTTCCCAGAGGCCCCACCCCCTAGTATCTGCACATGGAGTTCTTAGAACTTGAACCTATGAATTTGGGCAGGAACCCAAACAGTCCATAACAGATGGAAAGAAGTAAAGGAGTGTCTGGATTTAGAGTCAGAGAAAGTGAAATGTATTGAGGTGGTTGGTCAGAGGGAAAAAGACGGCATTGTTGATGGGACCCCTTAGAAGTCAAGTTCTAACATCCGAGTTTACTTTCAGATCTGCTGCCGAATCAGTCTGTATCTTCTTTGTCCTGTAGGCACTGGGAGCAAGGGGAAGGAGGCAAGGACCCAGCAGGCAGACCTCAAGGGGCCGCTTACTCGGGTGTCGTCAGAGAGGTTTGAGGAAGCCGTGGTCCAGGGGCCCGAGCTTGGAAGGACCTGTGAGCAGGAGGCCGGCAGCTCGGCGGGAAACATCCCGGGGCCGCCTCCTCCCCAGCACGGCGTCGTCCCCCTGCCCGGTGACCTCAAGACCCACAGCTCCTTCTGGAAGCCTTTCCAGTGCCCCGAGTGTGGAAAAGGCTTCAGTCGGAGCTCCAATCTGGTCAGACACCAGCGGACCCACGAAGAAGAGAAGGCCTATGGCTGCGTTGAGTGTGGGAAGGGGTTCACCCTGCGGGAGTACCTCAGGAAGCACCAGAGGACCCACCTGGGGAAGCGGCCCTACGTGTGCAGCGAGTGCTGGAAGGCCTTCAGCCAGAGGCACCACCTGGAGGTCCACCGGAGGAGCCACACCGGGGAGAAGCCCTACACGTGCGGGGACTGCTGGAGGAGCTTCAGCCGCAGGCAGCACCTTCAGGTGCATCGGAGGACGCACACCGGGGAGAAGCCCTACACCTGTGAGTGCGGCAAGAGCTTCAGCAGGAATGCCAACCTGGCCGTGCACCGGCGGGCCCACACCGGGGAGAAGCCCTACGGCTGCCAGGTGTGCGGGAAGCGCTTCAGTAAGGGCGAGCGGCTGGTCAGACACCAGAGGATCCACACCGGGGAGAAGCCCTACCGCTGTCCTGCCTGTGGGCGGAGCTTCAACCAGAGGTCCATCCTCAACCGGCACCAGAAGACCCAGCATCGCCAGGAGAGCCCGGTGCAGTGAGGAGGAGGCGGGTCCTTCCAGGACCGCCGGGCCGGGGGAGAGCTCGCTGGAGGACGCGCTCACCTCCACTCACTGCAGGGCGGCGGGTGTCCAGGAGCGACGGGCGCAGAAGGCACTTTGACCCCTTTCCCTCCCACTCGCTCTTAAATGCAGGGAAAGGGCAAGGCCTGGCTTACATGAGTTGCCAGAGGGCACAGGGTCTCATGGCTCCTACCCAAGTGGTGCTAACACTCTCTCACCATCTCTTGGGGAAGCGAGATCCCGGGTTTCGGTCCAGGTTGGGGTTCCCCTCCTTCAGTGGATGTTCACATCCACCTTCTGAGCGAGTCCGGTTGTCAAGGCGAAGTCTTGTCCCACGTCGGCAGCTTGAACCTCGTTTTTCTGAGGGCTGTTATCTTTGCAAGATCATTAGCTCAGACTCTGTCTCCCTGCGCCCCACGCTTTCCCATTTAACAAATATTTACTGCACACCTACTGTGCGCCTGGCGCTGGGAGCACAGCGAATGAGACAGATGAGACCTCGTTCCCGGAGCTCATGGTTGGGCGCTGGATGCGCTCTCGAGGCTGGTAATGACCCGGAGTGCCGACCTTTCCCTCTGCAGTTGGAGTCGCTCAGGCAGCCTGGGTCATTTTACTTCATTCTTCGCCCCCTTTGTCTCTGTAGTATCCTACCCTCACCTGTCGTCTCCCCCTTCCTCTGTTCCTGGTACAGTAATACCAGTACATACATCTGTTAGAAGATTAATATTTTGCTGTTGATCACTGAATAAACATGAGAGTATTTTACAAAAACATCCAGTTCTGTATAAAGATCTAATTAAATGAATCTGAAAGATGAGCTAGTATTAATACCCTGTATTTGATGGCACTTTACAGTATGTAAAGTATGCTTCCCTAGTTTCTTGCTTCACTCATTCCGCAGATGTTCAGTGAGGGCCGACGGTGCCCGGAGCTCTTGTAAGTGCTCCGGATACATCAGTGAATCAAACCGGGGGAAGAGCCCTGTCCTGATGGAGCTTGTGTTTTTGTGAATGTGTTTGATCTTCAGAACCACCCAAGGTGGAACCTGTGGATGCTCCCAGGAGCCCTATGGGACTGCCATCTGAGCCTGTGCCTCGGTCCTGTCAGCTTCTTGCCCAGAAACGTGTTCGTCACCACCTACCTCTCATTGCCAAATAACCTCTGTCCTCGGTGCACCTTGGTCCTTGACATCTGACAGGTGTTCGGGATCCTCAGTGCCACCTGGACGTGGTAAGATGGTGACAGTCTGTTGTGCATGAGTGCCAATGTAGGAAAAAGAAAGATGTTTGTAGGTGTTAAAAGAATAGATTGTTTTTTTATTAATGAGAAGATGCAGTATTTGTAACTGAGTTTAAGCTTTCTTACAGTATCTTGCCATCATTAAAGGGTTTCCTTTGTCTTGGACGTTCTGGGAACCGCAGGACTAGCGCGGACTGTGCTGCAGTGTGAGTGCTGTGTCCTTGGACGCTGGCAGCTGAGTAAGTTAGTCCTGGAAGTCCTGTTTGTCAGTTTGTCTTCTGACAGCGTCCTGTAATCGCAAGGTGTGATCTGCCCCGTCGTGCCTCTTAATATGGTGTTCTCTCGCTGGGGGTTCTCTTTCCCCGTTTTTCCTGTAAATAAGATGAACGGTCATGACTTTAACACAGAGAGTTGCAGGACCCAGCCCACTCTGCAACACATTTTAGCACTCATTTCTTGGCAGGTATCCAGGGTGTTGACTTTTGATTTAGCAGGTGACCTCCTGGCCCCTCAGCTGTCCCCACGGGGCCGCACTGACCAGGGTGTGAGGGAGACGTCCACCCTGAGGCGCTGGGCTGCTGCCACTTCCGGCAGCGTCGCGGTCTGGATGCAGAGCCTGCTGCTTTCCCGCCCGCTCCACAGGCAGGCCGGGCAGCGCCGACAGCCGCCTGGCAGCCAGACCCAGTGGAAGGCTTTTCCTCGGCCCCTGGCCTCCAGTCTGTAGGATGTGGGGGCTGACCTAACGCAAGTTTGGCCTTTTCTGGGAGGCCTGTATTCCAAAGCTAGGCAAGGAGCGCAGAGCCGCCGCGGGCTGGGAGTTGCTTGCCAGGGGTCTTCTGTTTACGTGGATTACATTGTGGGTTCTCTGACTATACGTCTGGACAAACGAGTGTCTGGGTTTTCGGCCAGTGGCAGCTTTTGAAGGAAGCTTCTGTGAGAGTCAGGCCTTGCTGTCACTCCCACGTGTGCCCCGCTGTCTGCTTTGAGACTGATGCTTATGGACAGGCAGTTCCTCAGAAAAGCTTCGAAAGAGAATTTTCCCCATGGGGTTGTAGTAGCCTTATTTTTGATGTCTTTTCAAATGTCAAGTATTTTATTTTCTGTATTTTTCTATTTAGAAACTTTTTATGATAGAAAACTTCAAACATATATAAACAGTTCCTCTTGTAATCTTTCAGCTTTAACCGTCATATGCTCATAGCCGATCTTGTTTCATCTCTGCCCCGTCCTCCTTCCCATCTTCCTCCCCAACCAAAGTATTTTGAAGCAAATCCCAAATGTTGTTTGTAGATATTTCAGTGCATGCCTCTAAAGGGTAAGGATTCTTAAAAAAACAAAAACAAAAACAAAATACTATTGTCATACCTAAACATCGAACAAGTCCTTAATTCCCAATTAATGTTTTTTAAAAAGCCACATAGTTTTTAAGAAGCTTCTTTGAGTTAAGGTCCAAGTAAGATCCATACATTGTAATTGGCTGCTGTGTCTTCTAAGTCTAATAGTCTGTAGTTCTTACCCTTTTTCCTTTTGAAATTCATTCATTGAAACAACTGGGTTATTTATCATGCAGAATTTCTCACATTCTGAATTTTGTTTGTGTGCTCATGGCATTGTTGAATGTAGTTCTCTGCCCTCTGATTAGCTAAGAACTTGCAGGTGTAGAGGTGTTGCCAGACTCGCATTTCACGTTTTGGCAGGAACATATTACAGCTGGTGGCATGTCTGCTTGTTTCTCATTATATGATGTTAGGAGCCTAAATCCATTTATTTTGCTAATTCTAGAGAAGATCCTTTATTAATTAGCTGGAACGCTTCTGTAAGGAAAATTTCCCTCACTGGTAGATACAATTCACAGAGGAAAGGAAGTGCTTGATTTTTCCTTCCTTCCCTTTATCTACTTGTCTTCACAGTACTGATCTGGGTATTTTGCTTCCCATAAAAGTGATGATTATTTTTTAATGAAAATGCATTCACAGGTTTAGACCAGTCCACTGCAGTTATGATTCTTACTGATGCTCCAATCATTTTACTTTTGGCCAGTGGGAGCCTCTTCATGCTGGCTCCTGAATTCCTTTTGACAGGACCCTGATCATCTTGGATGGGTTCTTTGCTCTCTGGTGTGACAGGATGTTCCAAGCTCATCTTGTACATTTCCCACCCCTTTTGCGAGTGAAGGGAAGTGCTATTAATCAAGTTAGAACAGTGATATAAACTGGGACCCCAGGGCAAACGGGGACATACGGTCACTTTATATTTAGCCCTCCTCGTGTACAATTGGGCGTCTGCAGTTCCCTCACGCAAGGGTGATGCTGTGTGCTCTCTGGGCCTGGCTGTGTGTGCCAGGCTGCTCTGAGGGTGAGGAAGGTTGCCATACACAGGTGTGAACTTTGTAAGAGGAGCTGCTGTTTTATCACCTGGGTTGCAGCAGAACCAGGTGACTTTCTGCCTGAGATCTGTCTTGGGAAGCTAATGCTTTAGAAAATTGCTTCTTGAATCGTATGCCATGAATGTTGTCTGCAGGCTGAGTAACTGTGCTCAGATACTTTCAGTACCTGTTTTATCCCAGCTTAAGGACTAGTAGAGGAACCTTTGTTTCTTAAAAAATAAGCTGGTTTCAGGTCCCCCTTGCAATGCAAGTTGACTTCATCCACTTCAAGTCGGGGAAAGTAGTTGCTGAACATGTCTCTCTAGAGTCTGCTTGCTTTTTTAAACTCTGCCCAAGTTTCTCAGCCTCGGCACTATTGACATTTTGTGCCAAGTAATCCTTTGTCTTGGAGGCTGTCCAGGCTGTTTTGTGCATTGTAGGCTGTTTCGCAGGATCCTTGGCCTTGATCTATTCAGTGCCAATTGTGATAACTCAGAATGTCTCCAGATGTTGCCAGAAATCCCCTGGGGGGCAGAACTGACTCTAGCTGAGAACCCTTGTTTCTTAGCTTTCAGGATAAGAGGTGAAGCGAATTAAGATGGTTTAGCTGTTGAACAGAAGGACTTGGATTCCAAGGACTGGACCTGTTTTCTGCTAACCTTATAGAGCCTTGGCCTAATTTCTAGAAAACAAAGGCGTTTTACTGGTGATCATGTGGGTTAAATGTAATATTGCCAGGCAGAGCCCAGAGCTACTGAAGTAGAAGCTGAGGCAGCGGTGCTGAGAGTCTGTAACAGGCAGCTGTGGTGGTCCCTGTGCGGCAGCCGGCTGGTTGCTTTGGGCTCCTGTCAGGGCAGCGCCTGCAGTGAAGCGTGCACGCAACAGTGAGCCTTGGCTCGGGCCCGGACTCCCCTTCCCCAGTACCTGCACGTACGTAGTGGGGCCACTTCAGCTCAGTCCAGCTAGCTCCCACCTTTTTTGCCCTAACAGTTAGGTCTTCAAGGCACACAGTAGGCAGTGAATACTTGAATGAATGAAAGCCTGGATTTCTGCCTTTTTCATAGCTTGAAGGCTCTCTAGAGGATGCCTTAGGAGGGAAGGACACTATAGCAGATTGTCTCCTGCTGGTCTCCCAGTCCGGCAGTCGTCTGTCGCTGTCGCCCCACCAATTGCAGTGACATCGAATTTACTTAGAAAACCCACAAGTCAAAGAAGTTCACTTGGAACTTTGACAGTTTCATATTCCTATCTTGCCTTTTTTCTTTCTTTTTTTGATCTCAGTGAAGGGCATATTTCTAGGGATAGGTCTTGTCCAGCCCATTCCCAGGATTGTCATGTTTCAATAAAAAATTACCGTAGACATTTGTCATGAAGTGGGGAAGGTAGGCGATCCTTGTGTCTGTCGCTGGGAACTTCAGCTGCTGGGAGAGTGAGGGTGGAGGGCAGGTGCTGTGCCCTAGAACGAGGGGGACTTAGGAGAAGCAGTTTTGGAAGAATCAATAGATTCCAGTAAAAGGGCCACCATCACTGCCATGTGCACCAGTCACAACTCCGTCGTCCAAGTGGCCAGAGACGAGGAGATGCAGCAAACCCAAGAGCTCGCATCATCTGTTTCTCTTTCCTACATAAAACATGTATTCCCTTGAGTAGGTGGTATGTAAGCTTTTAGCTAGAGACTGGGAAAAAAGAGGTGGTAGAAATCTGTATGTGCCTTCTTGATTCCTGCCTCCAGAAGCCATTTGAGCCCCACAACATCTCCATGTCTGTGAGAAATTTGAGGAAAATCCAGTCTTGGTTATGATGTTTCACTGACTCCAGCGGGAGGGCTCAATGTGCCACGTGGGCAGGAAGAGGAGGGTGAACGATGAGCAGGTTACCGCTGACAGCCAGTCTTCTCTTTAGGTTTTCCTAGTCTTCATTTCTAAGAGTTCCTGCTGCCTAGACTCAAGTGCTTACGGAAAGAATGGGAAATAAATGATGGAAAAACCAACAGTTAAAACAATGTGGTAGAAGCACAAATGGACCAATGGGACAGAGTAAAAGGTTGAGAAATAGACCCAACTGCCTGTAGAGATCCAGTGTATGACAAAGGTGGCATCTCAGCTTCCTGGGCAGAAACTGAGTTTCTATAAAATGGTACTGTGATACCCAGGTAACCATTTGGAAAAAGAAAAAATAGATCATTTGTCCCACCATATTCAAGAATAAACGTCAAGTGAATGAGGAACCTAAAGGAAAAAAGTGAAACTATACAAGTACTAGAAGACAATGTGGATGACTTCCTCTGAAACATGGGTTCAGAAAGGCTTTTAAATGTGACTCAAAATCCAGATGCAATAAAAGAAAAGATTGATGAATTCCTTCATAAAACATTTAAAACTTCTGAATGGCAGAAACAGCAACCAAAGACAAATGACAGATTGGGAGAAACAATTGCAACATAATGCAGAGGTATATTCCTAATATACCAAGAACTTTCTTAAAAAAAAAAGTTCCTTTTTTAAAAAAGAAAAAAACCCCCCAAAATCCTATGGGAAAATTGACAAACTTGCATTCACAAAAAAGGTAAAAATGGCTCAAACATATGGAAAGGTGTTCACCTTCATTCATAATGAAATAAATGCCTATTAAAACTACACTGAGATGTTATTTTGTATCCCATCAGATTGGTCAAAATTCAAGTGTGGTAGTATATGCTCTTGATGAGTTCTTCGGGAAACAGGAATTCTTACGCATTGTGGATGGAAGACAGAATGATACAACCTCATATGGAGGGGAATTTAGCACTAACAAAATTATGTATAAATTTACTCTGAAGACACACCTCTAGCAATATGAAAATACGTATGCACAAGGTTATTCATTGCAGCATTCTTTGTAACTGCAGAAATACTGGAAACTGCCTAAATACCCAAGACAGATGATTGAACGAACGATGGCGCATCCACATGGTGGAGTATTACACAGCTTAAAAAAAGAATATTATAGGGGTAATTGACAAAATTGAATTATGTATCCAGATTGAATTATTGTATCAATGTTAAACTCACTAACACTGATAACTGTGCTGTGGTTATGTAAGAGCATATCCCTACTCTTAGGAAATAGAGAAGTTTTGGGGGATTAAAGCACCATTGTGTGTGTGTGTGTGTGTGTGTGTGTGTGTGGAGAGGTAGAGAGGTGGGGGGGAGGAGGGGAATGGGGGAGGGAGGGGGAAAGAGAAAGGAGGAGGCAGAGGGAGAGGAGGAGGAGAGAAGAGAGGAATTGGGGTAAAAAAATTACTAAGTCAATCTGGATAAAGACTATGTGGTATTTTGCACTACTATTGCAACTTTTCTGTAAGCTTAAAGTTATTTTCACGTAAGCATTTTAAATGTAAAAAGAATCAGCAGGATTTACTAGTTAGTGTGGTAGGAAAAGGGTTCCAATCCTTTGTCGTATGGTAAGTGCCATATGGCAGGTGGGGATGGGAGGGCGAGGCTGCGCATACCTGAGATGCACTGGTTTCATCGCACCTGGTCTTGCGCAAGAGCTGCAGTTTCCGCCTATCCTGTTTTCACCATGTGCGTGATTGGCCAAAGCCCGTTCGTTCACACAGCTTCTGCAGGAGGAACTCTGGTGCTGGAAGCTCCCTTTCTTTGTGGAAAGTCCCATTTTCAGTGTCTTTCTTCATCCTTGGTCTTAGTTTTGTGTTGGTGTCCTCAGAATACTTTGACCTCACCAGACTTTAGACGGATCACTTCCCTTGAGGGTTTGTGGTCTTTCCAGTGCTTTCACCCACGTTACACCTCCTGCCCTAAATTAGAGACTGTGCTTCTAGAAACTGATGGCTTTAGGCCATTGCTTCAGTGAGCGTCTTTTGTAATTAATGTATGTTTTCGTTAACGCATATATGCAGATATCCCTGTGGGCATTCAATCTCACATGTTTTGGAATTATTTCCTAATTTATGATTTGGTTGGTTCTCGTGACCTCTAAAAACAGGGCAAAACTGATGGTCAAATAAATGAACTCTGGAGGGATAACTGGTTTGAACAGCAGTGATTTAAAGGGGAAAAGTTAGTCTAATTTTAGAATTGTTGAATATGAAATAACAGAAGGGTGGTTAGATGCTGGGGACCAGTCCAGAAAGCAGGTCAGGATCGAAGGTCCCATTTTTTGTTTTCTTAAATACGTTGGGAATTAGGCAGCTGGAAAGCACTGGCTCCACACTTCTAGTGTGTGATAGTTTATGTATCTCCCATTAGCTCTGGGTGTACGTCTGGAAGCTCCCCCAACACCGGGCCCTGAGAAATCTTGGAGAAGCTCAGCTCCAGCCCACATCCAGCATCTTCATGTACTGTTAGGTCAGCAGGAGCTGTTACACCTAGAGACCCACACTGTTCCCTGGTTTCTCTGCCCACTCCCACTCCAGAGGTGCCCCAGATACCTCGCTGGTAAACCCCCACCGGGCCCTGATCACACCTCTGTGTTGTTGTAGTTTATACTTCAGGAAACTCAGGGAAACAGTAGGGCAGGTACCTACATCGTGTGGGGTTTGAGTCCAGAAGATCATTTGCTCATAGAGTAATGGCACCTGGTTCAGAAGACTCAATGCAGGGGGTCTAGAGGTGATCCAGCCCCAAAGTCTTAGAACATCCCCTTGCTTTCTGTGGTACTGCAGAGGGTACTGCTGCTTCTGAGTGGTGCTCAACACCCAGTTAAGCCAGCTCTGCCAGCTTGCTGGTGTGTTATTCACAGCCTTGGTGGTGGTGGGTCCGCAAGTCCCTGTCATACTTAACGCTCAAGATGAAAGCCATCCTTAGGATATTCCAAGTCGAAGTTTCGTCCTTCATGCTGGTAAATTATAAACAAGGAGGCCCTTAGACAGAGGTGGTTCTAACGCCTTGGCAGCCTGCATAAGCAAAGCAAAACCGAAGCCTGTAAGCGCCTCGAGTTTAAAAAAGTGAAACCCAAGGGCCCCCAATCACAAACAGCCAGCTAGGCGTTCCTGCGTAAGGCAGCCTGAAGCTATGGCCCATCAAATAATTTTCTCGCTCTGCTTCCTTGTCTTCTCGGTAAAGGCCTTGCCCCTCCTTCCTGCGGCTGCGCTGCTGCTAACCACTGCCGGCTTGCTGCTGCCTGACTGCAATGGCTATGGCTCTAATAAGCTCTTAAAAATTTTAACATGCCTGAGTTTGTCTTTTAACAGTGCTTTTCAGCAGAAATTCTCAAAGTACCATCTGGAGATCACTCACCTCACAGCCTCTCGGGGAGCTTATTGGAAGCGTATTTGGGAGCGGCGCAGCTGGCCGCTGGGGCTCGGGCCGCCCCACTTCACCCAGCTCCTCGGGTGACGGAGATGCAGGCACGTTCTGAGAAGGCTGCTGCGTTGTGTGGGACGCCGCGGCGGCACCCGCGCGCGCTCGTTCACACGTGTGAACAGATCTGAAGGCTCCCTCCCTCCGCGCAGGCCCAGAGCGGATGGAACAGCAAGGCGTGGTCCTCACGGCAGAGTGCTGCTCTACTGCTCTCGGTTGGAAGCCACGACACGTGAGTCTCTTCAACGATACAGGACAGTTACGTCCCTGATTTCTCCCGGGGAAAAGACTTTGGTTTTTTTTTTTTTTTTTTTTGGTCAGAAATCCGTCTGCTGCTGTGTCTCAGCACTCAGCGCGACGCCCAGCTTAATAAAGGTGCTTAATAGACGTCCTCAATGAATCCGTGCCTTTTGCAGTCGCTGCCTCATATCTCCTCCGCCTGCCCCCCCCCCCAATTTTCTCAGTTGCCACTGGTCTTCTCTAATTTCACGTCCCGTAATGGGGCAGGCAAATGAAAAGCTTTCCTCTGGGCACCTCGAGAGAGCAGCTTTACAGAAAACGCTTGAGTTCTGTTGTAGTTGCGGTTGTGCGTGCCCACGACTAGGTGCGGGGCTGGGTGTGGCGGGGCTGGGAGGACTCAGCAGGAACACTTCGACAAAGCCGTAGCTGTCAGCTGTCTTGAAATCTGTCAGGAACGTTTATCTTTAATGATTTCCTTTTGGGTAAACTGGTATCACGTTGTCCTTCATAACTGTAGAGGGGGACGCAGAGGGCATTGAGGGCATTGATGGAGAGACCACTGAAATAATACAGGAGAGTCTGGGAAAGGGCGCAGCTTCTGTGATTGACTGAGAATCAGTCCTGGTCCAGAGCCTTGTTCAACAGAAGACTGACTGGATTCTAGATAGTTTGGAATCTATTCAAAAGAGAAAAAAAATTCCCTTTTGCTTTCTTTTGAATGAGGTGTTATTTTCTCTGATTTTACCTTGGCTTCTTAGTAAAATATCTTGAAATGTAATTCTTTGTGCTTGGCTAAAGGAATGTCCTGCTTTGTGAAAAGAAAAGGAAGATGAGGGGGAGCACACCTGGGAGGGGAGGAGTGGATTCAGAGCCGTTTGTGGATGCAGCGGTCACTTTGTGTTGGGAGAGGCTATCACAAAGGCGTGAGTGCTTAATTACGCACAGATGGCACAAACAATTCTCTGTATCTTCCTCACTCCACTGTATCTTTTCTCAGTTTTAATATCTACTTCCCAACCACCTTCCTACCCAAAATATTTCATCGTCCCACCCGACCTACTTTATTTACATAGGGCAGACTCTTGGAACCATCTAAGCAGAGACTCATTCCTCTACTGCAATTTGGTGGTCAGAATAATTCAGTGCATACAGAAAACACTGACACGATATCTTTACATTGGATCCTTACTCAATATGTATTGTATTCTTGCATTTCACCTTCCTTTCCTAATTTAGGGAGTGTAGCAGTGAAAAAGAAAAAAAGAATTAATATAACCCCAACCTAGAAATAGATAGCAAAGACCTGCAGCTTTCCACTAAAGACCTTTAACAGATTTCAGTTCTTTTTTTATCTCTTTGTTTGGATGTGGAGAAACTGGAACACTTGTGCACTGTTGGTGGGAATGTAAAATGGTTGCAGCCACTACAGAAGACAGTATGGTAGTTTCTGAAAAAATTAAAAATAAAATTACCATCTGACCCAGCAATTCCACTTCTGGGTGTATACCCCAAAGAATTAAAAACAGGGACTCAAAGAGGCATTTGTACAGCCATGTTTATAGCAGCATTATTCATGATAGGCAATAGGTGGAAGTAACCCAAGTGTTCATCAACAGATGAATGGTTAAAGAAAATGTAGTAGATCTGTACAATGGAATATTATTCACCCCTGAAAAGGAAGGAAATTCTGACATGCTACAACCTGGATAAACCTCGAAGACTTTGTGCTAAGTGAAATAAAAGGACAAGTAGTGTATGATTCCTCTTACAGGAGATACCTAAAGTAGTCAGATTCTTAGAGGCAGAAAGGAGAATAGTGATTGCCAGGGCCTGGGAGCAGAGGGCATGGGGAGGCTACAGAGCTTCAGTTTTGCAAAATGAAGAGTTGTGCAGCGGGATGGTGGTGATGATGGCACAGCAGTGTGAGTGTACACTGTTGAACTGTGCACTTTGAATGGTTAAGATGGTAAATTCAACATTGTATGTATTTTCCACAATTAAAAAAAAGACTGAGAAATGTGCATTGACTTTATCAACTTGGAGAATCATTGGTGACATTGGTGAGAGCAATTTCAGTGGCCAGATTCCAGTGGGTTGTGAATCTCTCCCTTGAATTCTAACTCATGTGTACAACTACCTACTTGAAGTTCAAATGGGCATCTCAAACTTGTCACATACAAGAATAAACTGTCTTCTCTTCACTATGCAAACCTATTTCTTCCTCATCTTAGTGAATGGACCCTCCATTCACCCAGTTGCTTAGGCCAAAAAGCCCGGAGCCCTCCCTCTTAGACTCTACATCCAAACCATCAGCAAATCCTATCAGCTCTACTTTCAAAACACAGATGGAATCTTGCAGTTTCCTGTGACTTCCAACACATGCAGATCCGAGCCACCGTCTTCTCCCTTGGGCTATGTTAGTAGCCTTCTAATTAATCTCCCTGCTTCTGTTCTTTCCTCTTTATAGTCTATTCACCATATAAGAACCAAATAATCTGTAAAAAGTGTAAGTGAGATTATTTCACTACTCTGTTCAGAACTTCCCAAAGACTTCCCTTCTCATAGTAAGAGCCGAAGCCCTCCCTGAGCTAACGGCCCTTCTGGGAGCCTGTGGGCCGACCTGCAGGAGTACCCCTACCTTGGGGCTGTGCTCTTGTCCTCTGCGGAGAACCTGCTTTCCGGAGACCTTCATACAGCTTTCTCCCTCTCTTCAAAGGAGTTTCTGTTTCGAGAGACCTTCCCTAATGATCTGTGATGATTTAAAAACATGTCTGCACATTCTTCCATGTTCTTTCCATCAAGAGAGTCTCATTCCTCTCCTCTTGAATATCACCTGGCCTTAGCGGACTCACTTCTAACAAGTAAAACGTGAAGGCAGTGATGCTGTGTTACTCCTCCTGTTATAAGAGGCAGTGCTTCGGATGTCTGCCCTTGGAACAGAGCCACCATTCTGCGAGGAAGCCCCAGTCACAGCGACAGGCCACACGCAGGCATTCCAGCAGCAGCCCTGACTGCGGTCGCTGCTGACAGCCAGGATCAACGGTTGGATGTGAGTGAGGAATCCTAGATGACTCCAGCCCAAGCCTGTTTCTCTACAACTACATGCCATAGACCCTGGGGGAGAATTGCCTGGCTCAGCCCAGTTACCCCCGGAAATGTCGGAGAGGAAATAAGTGAGTACAATTATTTCAAGCCACTACATTTGGGTGGTTGGTGGTACATCAGTAGAGAAGTGAAGCACAGCCCTACCATGGTAGCTTTCCTAGCAAGCTCTAGTCCCTGATCCAGACTTATTTCTCTTTGTAGAACTTATAGCTCTCTGACAAAGTGGATGTGCATTTGTTCTTTTTTTTTTTTTGGTTTTCCTTCCCTATTCCCTGGAACATCAGGTAAGAAGAAGGATACCCTGTTTTGAAAGAAGATACTCTGTTTTGTTTGCTGATATGTCCCTCAGTGCTTATAGGGAACGTGGGACATCATTTTCCCTTCAGCTCAAGTTACATTCGTTAGGTGGATGCAGTACCTGTGGTCCTCTGGCGTGGAGAAGGCAGCCATGCGAAGAGAGAAAGTGTATGATTTGGAATGTGTCATGGAGGAGACACTGATTATTCTGATTATTCTTGAAGACACTTCCACTTTCCTACTAGGGGTTCTTAATAAGGCTGTTTTAGATAACGGAACTATTCTTTCCCCTTTCTTCTTAAAGGTTTCATTTTAGAAATACAGATGAACATTCTGGTATGTTCACAGCATTGGGTTTATGCTAATGAGTCTGAAAGGGTGGCTGAGCTTCTGAACTTTTTATAGTTGACTTGTGTGCAGGTCATTCCTTTCTGTTTACCCCTTAGCATGCGGCAAGGGCTAGAGACAGTCTGAAAAGCTGTTTGCTGTAAGAGAAGGATTACCTTATCCTCTGCCCTTCCTTGAAAGAGAGGCCTCGAAGGCAGCAGGTGTCCTCACAACCCACTGATGAGCAAGGTCAGTTGAAGGTCTTTCATATTTATTCATTGCTGCCCCTCTTTTTATTTTTTCTCATTCAGTTTTTTTTCAACCTTGGGACCAAATCATTGTATTATTCTATTATAGCAAATGGATATGAAGACCTCTTCTCCATGCTGATGTCAGCTTTTCTTTCCATCATTTTCACAGTTTGAGGTGAGATTTTATTGCTGTTGTGGTTTGATGATCGGGGACCAAGGAAAGCCTAAATTCTGCTCTGCCAATAATCCCGACTCCTGAGGGATCCCAAGGAAACAATGTGCTCAAGGAACAGCAGCAAACTTGGAGATGAAGTATAACTTTGTTAGTTTCTGAGTCATGCCCAGTAACCTCCATCGTGGGCTCACTGGTAAAAGGTGAGCTGGAAAGTAGCTCAGGCCTACCTTGCTTCCCCTTCTCAGCCCAAGATCTGAAGTTAGGACCTGTGTACTCAGGTACGGATTGGAGATAGAGCAAGAAGTGACTGGACCCCAAGTGGGGACTCCAACCAGACACGTGAATGGAAGAGGACTAACTGGGGGCCAGGCTGGCAGGAAGGGAGCTTCACCCCTGGACGATGACCCTTAAAGGCACACTGCCCTTTGTAAGATATGGACCAATGAACTTCTTGGCCTCTGACCAACCAGGTTGGAAACTCTTTTTCCTTGGATGGGTTTGGGGAGATATTTTATACTTTTATTATTGGTCAAGGGAAAGTCACAGGGAGAAAGGCTGTGAGCATTCTTTCCCCAAGTTTGCCACCATCGTCGTCATCATTGTCATCATCGGTAGCCGCATACTTTAACTAAGTCATTATTTTAACCCAGGCACTCTGGTAGTCTTCTGAAGGTGAGTTTATTAAGATGAGCAAGACTTTTTACAATAAGATATAAAGGTCTAAATTAAAAAATTAAAATAAAAAAGAATTAAAACCTCTACTCCAACAATGTCGTCTGGAGTAGAGTTGAGGTGAACACGAGTTAGCAAAGCACAGCACGAAAAGGGCTGTAGTAGAATTCAAATTACATGACGTTCCAGCGGAGAGAGGACGCTCCTTTTGGCCGGGGAGACTTGAGGCGGCTTCATGAAGGGCGTGGTGTTTTATCTGAGCCTGGAAGGACAGCTGGAGTTTTGATGGCTAGGAGTGGGCGAGGAGGGACTGCTGGAGCAGCATGAGCAGGGACGGAAGCAGCAGCCTGTTGGGGAGAGCGGTGAGTTTCAGGTGGACTGGAGTCAAGCGGCTAGTGATGGGAGGAGCCCGGGCTAGATGCCGGCGGCTCTGACTTTCTGTGTAATCCTCTTCCCAGCGCCGCCACACCCCTTGCAGCCTAGGATATTATTCTGTTGGACATGAGGCCACGTATAACTTCTTCAGCCATAAACTCACTGTATGAGGCCTCTCCCATTTGTCTCCTTCTCCAGGTCGACTTGTGGAGAAGCACCTTCACAAAGATTCTCATGGCCTGTTCCCTTTATGTTCTTCACACCCAGGGAACGAACTCTAGGTCTAGCCTCTCTTCTCTCTTTACCATGTGGATGGCATGTATGTGGAACACATACGTGGGACAGCGTCGGGCCCTCATAGGTGTTCAGCTGAGACACTCACTCTGCACATCCGTGACACAAGCAGACAGAGCTGTGGAACTCACCAGGCAGGACTCAAGGCCAAGAGTGGCACACTTTCCAGGACGACTGTCAAGCCTGTCTCCAAAGCTAGGTTCAACTCAGGGTGTGGAGATGGCGGTTGAGGAAGTGGGGGTGCAGCAGAGGAGTCTGGAAGTTGAGATGCTTGAGGGTTAGGATTTGAGGAACTGTGGGGTGTGCGGGGGTTCTTAGAGGGCACCGACCTTTCTGGCACAGGCTGTCAGCACAGGGCACAGATTCCTGTGAGTTTGCCTCTTCCACATGAACCCGCCCCAGGAGGCCTTCAGAGGAAGCTAATTTACGTTCACTTATGTATTTCTGTCTTTACGGGAGAGTTTATCCCCCTCCTGGTGGTTTGCGCAGTCTGTGTAGGGGCCAAGAAGCTTTGGACTTGCAAATTACTTACGAAGCAATGACAGGATTCCCTGCCCCTGGTGACAACCGAGGACAACAGGGTCTGTGTTCCTCCCACCCTGTGCATGTGGAGCCTGTCCCTGGGGTTCATCCCCTTCCCAGCGCAAAGGTCCTGAGGGGAAGCTCTGCTGTCACAGCCCATGGGGTGGAGCCTTCACGCTGACTAGTTTCCTTAGAGCTCCCTTCATGTCCTTGTTCCTCAGGCAGTAGATAAAGGGGTTCAGCATGGGGGTGACCACCATATACATCACTGACGCCAGTGAATCCTTGTCAGCTGAGTGGGAGGATGAGGGACTCAAGTAGACCCCCGTGATGGTCCCATAGAAGAGGATGACTACCGTGAGGTGGGAGCCGCAGGTGGAAAAGGCCTTTTGTTTGCCCCGGGCTGATGGGAACTTGAGCACAGCAGACACGATGTGGATGTAGGAGATGAGAATGCCAAGGAAGGGGATGAGGACGATCAGGCCCCCCACCAGCAGAATCATGAGTTGGTTGAGTTGGGTTTTGGAGCAGGAGAGCTGGAGCAGGGGAACGAGGTCACAAAAGAAGTAAGAGATGACGTTGCTGGCACAGAACTCCAGCCGAGCCATGAGGAGGGTGTGCAGCAGGGAGTGGGAGCTGGCGATGAGCCAGGAGCTCCCCAGCATCAGGGCACAGATCCGCAGACTCATCACAGTGGAGTAGCGCAGCGGGTGGCAGATAGCCACGTAGCGGTCATAAGCCATGGCCGTCAGGAGGAAGTTGTCCATGTTGGCAAGCAAAATGCAGAAGTAGATCTGGGCTAGGCAGCCACCATAGGATATGGACTGAGCCTTTGTCTGGATGTTCACGAGCATCTTGGGAACTGTGGCAGAGATGAAGCAGAAATCCACCAGGGAGAGGCTGCTGAGGAAGAAGTACATGGGTGTGTGGAGGTGGGAGTCTGAGCCAATGGCCAGGATGATGAGCAAATTCCCTGCTGCCCCGACCAGGTACATGACAAGGAAGAGCCCAAAGATCAGCTCCTGCCTCTCGGGCCGGCTGGAGAGCCCTAGGAGGAGGAACTCAGAGGTGCTTGTGTGGTTTCCCGTCTCCATGGTCAACTGGTCCTGCTGGGAGATCCAGACCAGGCTTAGGCCTTAGAGACGGGGCAGGTGCCCACGCCCCCCTCCTTCCCTCATACGACCCCTCAGCTCACATTTGGCCACATCTCTGTGTTCATTTGCAAGAGAAGGCTCTCTGCCTGTCAAAGGGAATGCTTCAACCAAGGAGTCTTATGGCCCCAGCAGATCCCAAAGCCAGGGATTTAATTAGTTTTGCCACCGAAACACTCCTGATCCCGAGCCCCACAAAGCTCCATGTGCCACCTCTCCAAGGAGAATACTTGTGATGTATGGCCAGGTACTCAGTGGCGGTGACAACAAGAGAGGGGTGCTTGGGTGTCTTACCCCAGAAATTTCCCTCATACTCTCATTCTTTGTCATGATGTCTCGATATTAAGTAAAGCGCTATAGGAACGTAGCTTCCTCCCATGCCCAGTAAGACTGCCACCCAAAGGCCCTTTCTATTCAGAATTCTGGAACCACAGTGGCACACACATTGAACCAGAGGGTAATACTGGTAAACATCCTCCTTCCCCGGCAATATTTTATCTCCCCTTGTTCTTACACCCACATAGAGCCCGTGGCTCAGGGTGTTCAGGTTCATACTTCTCACCAGCTCTGGGCTGCCTTGGTCCGGGTGAGATGGACCACGCTGTGGGAAGCCGGAGGCCAGAGCAAGCCTGCGCAGGGAGCCTGCTGACTGGACGGCCCAGCCAGCCCTTCTGTCTGGCCTTACCCAGGAAGGCCTGGCCTCTGGTGGGTAAGAGTCGCCCCTGCAGAGAACATAGAGAAACTACAGGTGCAACGTTGCCCAAAGTAACACGGCGGGTAGCAGGGCGCCACAGGGACCCCTCTGAGTTGGAGTTCATAATAGTTCAGTGTGAGCTCAGCTGAAGTTTCATTAGATATAATATAAATTATTTTCACTGCCTCACAAGGCACAGTTAGTTGGGATTTGGGTCCTATGGAATGTAGATTATTAAGAGGGAAGAGGGGAAAAGGAGGAACTGGAGTTACTGTGCTGGCCTGTCCTCACCCGACCCGTCTGAGGTTAGCTCCCAGGCACCATCTTTCTAAACCCAACAAGCCGGAGTTCGCACCGTTGGCCACTTCCTCCTTGGAGCCTGATCTTCACTTGGTTTCGAAGCACAGTTCTGTGTTGGCACCTCCCTGCCTCACGGGTCACTCGCTCCTGGTGTCCCCTGCTCGTTCCTCCTCTTCTGCCCTCCAGCTGTTGGGGTGCCCAGCAACTCCTCAAGCCCCGTCTCTTCTCTGTCTGCACTCATTCTATACATGGTCTCATTAGTCCCAAAGCTTTAAATACCAGCCAAATTTCTATCTCCTGTTTGGGATTTTCCCCTTGAACTTCAAACTCCTTTGTTTGTTTGTTTGTTTTATGAAGGGGAGGTAATTAGGTTTACTTATTTCTTTGTCCTGGGTTCAATCCCCAGGACCTTGTGCATGCATGAGCTCCACCGCTTGAGCTATACCCTCCCCGCCGAACTTCTTTATGTCTAACCGCCTACTCCCCATATCCATTTAGATCTCACAGGCATCTCAGACCTAACTTATCTAAAACCATGTTGCTGATCTCCTCCTCTTCAAACTTGCTATTTCCTCAGTCATCCCATCTTGTTCTTCCAATTGCTCGAGCCAAGCCCTTAGCACCAGTCTTAAATCCTCTTTCTTTTTTCTGTCCTCATTCCAGTACTTTGGCAAAGCCTGCCATCTCTGCCTTTGAAATATAACCAGAAGGGGACCACTTTCTCTCTGTAGCCACTGCTGCCTTCTTAGCCCCCAGACCACTTTTTTTCCATCCAGAGCATTACAGTAGTCTCTTAACGGGGCTCCCTGTTTCTGTCCACACCCGACCCTCAATAGTCTGTTTCTACACAGCAACCAGAGTGAATGTTAAGAAACGAAAGTCAGATCGTGTTACTTCTCTGCTCAAAATCCTCCAGTGGCTTCCTGCCTCTCTCTGAACAAAGCCCAAAGTCCTTTCCAAATCCTGCAGGGCTGTGCCTGACCCGGGCCTCCCCCGTCCCTCTCCCTGACCTCACCTCCTTCTGTTGCCCCTCACTTTTGGTAGGCCGGCCACAGTGGCCTCCTCGCCGCGCCTGAGAGCAGGAACTTTATTTTTATTTACTGCGATATTTCTAGTTTCTCCGACATTCCTGGACTATAGGAGACATGCCGTGTTGTTGAACGAATGGGGAACTCTTCTTAATGTGCCCCTTGGTGACCTCGTGCCTTTGAGACGGTGAGACCTCACAGATGGTCCTCCTTCACCTCATAGCAGCCTCGTGCCTCCTAAATGTCAATCATTTTTGTGTATCACCTGTATTTTTCTTTCCTTAGCACCGCTGTTTAACTCACTAAATTTGTGAGTCGAAATTCATTTATTAGAAAAGGAAGTTTGTACATCATGGTAACACTAGAAGGCAATGCCGCTTGGTGAGTTTTTAAGCTAGAGACCATTACCTGCAGAGTTCTGAGCCTGAAACCCACTTTTTCTTGATTAAAAAAGGTGAATGGAAAGTTGTAGCGAGGAGTTCGGGAAGTAATGCCCGTCTGAGTATTTCTCTGAGAGGGCGTCCGAAGGGGCGGGAGAGAACTCGAGAGGGAACGGCTGTCTCGCCACACTGTTTGGTGCTATTTGTCTCCGTCTCTGTAAACCCCCTAGTGCCAACTTTCAGCTCCCTGTAGGCGTGGGCTGCGCACTGCGGGAAACACTGCACCAACCCATCCATACCTGGACTTGGACACCTGTCTGCGCGGGCCTGATTCCTGTTCCTGATCCTTGGGAAGCCAGCACGCCGATCGACTTTGTTTCCTTGCTTCAGTGGCAATTCTTCATCTCTCTCTGGTGACCTCCGCAGCTCTGGGGTTTGTGTTGGCCTGAATGCTGGACCTATTTTGTGAAAGCCCCAGGGATTCTGTACTCTGCTTTCTTCTCTGGAAGGTGATGGGGTTGGATTCCTAGGTGGTTTCCAAGGACTGGGTCTCCAGTTGAGAAGTGGAGAAGGAGATGTCTTGGGGCTTATGTGTTTTGGGGCACTGACAGGGGAGTGTGTCCTCTTGCCCCCACATTGGCACTGACCTGTCCAGTTGTTCTGATTTCTGCCAGCCCCACTTGAGGAACCTGCCTGCTCCTGACTTGCTCCTCTTCTCCTGAGGCAGGGCAGACAGCTCACAAGCAGCCTAGAGCCTCAGACACAACCCTGGCCCATTGGAAAGCAGGGTGAGGAACACGTCTGTGCCTGGAAGGCAGGGTGAGCAAGAAGGCTGAGAGAGCAGGGCTCCATCCCCTGACTCTTGAGCCTGGGAGAGGTGTGTGGGTCTCACACTCAGATTATTTTCAGAGCTACTCCTAGCCTCTAGGGAGCAGTACCCAATGGGCACTGTTAAAAATAAATGTGTATTAACTACCTTGGGTCTGGCCAACCTCAGTTCTCCTGGGCTCTGCAGCATCTCCTTAGGGTTTTTCTATTGCAAAGTTTTTGCCTTCAGTCATTTAATTTGTCACTTTTGTCTACAGGGAAAAATCTTAGTATTTTCTTACTGTATGCCTTCTGTCCAGGGAATTCATCTTGTTTATTCGCTCAGATCAGAACTCCAGTGTTCATGCTGATGGCCATTTCATTTCAGCTCAAGGAACTCTCTTTACTGTTTCTTCTAAGACAGGTCTAGTGGTGATGAAGTCCCTCAGCTTTTGTTCATTTGTGAAAGTCTTTCCTTCTCCTTCATTTCTAAGTAACAGCTTTGCCCATTAAAGTATCCTTGGTTGACAATTTTTTTTTCTTTCAGCACTTTGTAGATATCACCCGGCTCTCTCTTGGCCTGCAAGATTCTGCTGAGAAAGCCACTGAGATGGAAGTCCCCTTGTATGATATGAACTTCTTTTCTCTAACTTCTTTTAAAATTCTCTTTGTTTTGTTGATAGTTTTATTGTAATTATAATGTGTCTTGGTGAAGTTGTCTTGAGTTGAGTCTTTTGGGGACCTATAAGCTTCATGTACCTGAATACCTGTAACTTTCCCCAGATTAGGGAAATTTTCAGCCATTATTTCTTTAAATAAGTTTTCTATCCCTTCTCTCTCTTCTTCTGAGACTCCCATAATGCAAATATGGTTTTGTTTGATGGTGTCTCATAAGTCACATAGGCTTTCTTTACTCTTTTTCACTCTTTTCTTTTTTCTCCTCTGATAGCGTAATTTCAAATGATCTGTCTTTGACTTTACACGTTCTTTCTTCTGTTTGATCAAGTCTGATATGATGCTCTCTGTTTCATTTTTCACTTCATTCATTGTATTCTTCACCTCCAGAATTTCTGTTGGTTCTCTTTTTTGAATTATCCCTGTTTAACTTCTTGCTTTGCTCACATATTTGTTCCTTGATTTTTATTGAGCTGTCTGTCTGTGCTCTCTTGTAGCTTGCTGAGAACTGTCTATTCTTTGTCTAGCTATTCATAGACATCTATTTCTTTTGGGTCAGTTGCTGGAAAATTATTGTGTTCCTTTGTTGCTATCATGTTTCCTTGGTTTTTTGTATTTCTTGTAGCCTTGCACTGGTGTCTATTCATTTGATGGAACAGTCCCCTTTTCCAGACTTTACAGGCTGGTTTTGGTGGGGCAATACTTTCACCTGTGGGTGGGTGTAAGGGTGCTTACTGAGTGGGTTGTGGCAGCTCCAGGGAAGGCTCAGGGGCATAATCTTTGTGTGTCTCCATCAGCTGAGGTCAGTGTTGGTGAAGACTGCAGGGGTTCTCAATGGGCAGGGCTGGGGATGTCTGCAGTGGCTGTTGAGTGTTCAGTGGTGAAGGCTACTGGGAACTTCCTGGTCATTTTTTCTCCCATGGGGGATATTGTGGCTGAGGAGACTCCTTTTAGGACCATGTCCAGCTTGTGGATGCCCTTGTGGTGGTGGCAGCACTGATGTCTGATGTGCCTGCAGGTCTGATGGCCATGGAGTCAGGGACTGAAATGTGGGCTCAGGCAGAGCAGCCATGGCTTTGGGGTGTGGGGCATGCACAAGATTAAGGAGGGCTGGGAGCCCTGCCCCCAGGGTGGTGCAGCAGCAACTCCTTCTGAGGTGGGGGGGTGTTGGGCAGTTTCTCCCTCTTCAAGGAGTCTGCAGTGGCAATGGCTGGCAGTTAC